CTTGTTTCTTTTTTTTTTCTTCTAACAACTGTTGTAATTTCTTTTCTCGTTCTTCTTGTTTCTTTTCTTGTTTATTTTGTTGTTGGAGCTGCCACTGTTTCAAGTTTTCTTGCAACTGCCCTTGTCTCTCTTCTTGTTTCTTTTGCTGCTCTTGTATTGCTGCCATCAAGTCTGCTAAACTGTAGTTTGATTTTCCGCCTCTCGTTTCCATTTTTTTTCATTCCTCTTCTGACACCAATTTGTTATGTCTCCGTTTGTTAATTAACTTTCCGTAACTTCGTTCCGACGAAGTTTTAGCGACACAAGTCCTTACTTAATAAAACTGGTTTATTCTTTCCGAATACAACTTTACGATACACTTATTTTCAACAATCGTGCTAAAACAAACGCTATATCAACGAACGTCAATAATACTTCTGACTGCAGTTTAATTACTCACTATCTACACACACATTACATTATTCTCCCGTCACGTTGTCACTCTCTTTTATATACCAGACTACCCTATATCTAGTAAATACTAGAGCATTCGCCAAGGTACGGGATAGTTCTAGAAACGTGGCGTCACACTAGTCATGTGACTCGCTGATGCAACAATATGATTTTTTTATATACTTTTGTACAAACTGATTTTGGAATTTGTCCATTCATTTGCAAATACATTTCCAGCAGTAATTTTAATGTCAGTAGCTGATCCACACATTCAATACATTACACTACAAGACTGACTCATCAAATAATTTTTATTTTTTTTTATATTAAATAACTGTACATTATTAATTAGGCACTGTTTCTATTACATATCACCTTCTGTTAATAAAGACTGAGTACATGTACATATATGTATATATATATATATATAAATTTACACATACAAAAACATTAAAATTAATGGTATGTTTCTGTTGTCAATTATGGGAAGACTGATATAGGTTAAAGAAATATCACTGAACAATTCCTTAAGATACTGATAATCATACTGAATTTTAACTAAAGTACAATTATTTAATAGTTAGCATCTTCTCTTGTGGTTAACATTTCATTTTATAATGTTACATTTCCAATTCACCCAATTTCTATAATATTAGTAAAAAGCACTCTGATCATATCATTTCAACAGTTTTTTTTACTGTTGGATTCAGAAAAAGCCTAAAATTATTTCTCACAAGCTTATAACTATCCTTTTTATTAAGATGAAACTCACCCACTGTTTTTCTACTTTTATCTATGTGATTTGAATATTTTGAACACCAGTGCTATACTTTCTTTTACTCCAAAAATCTTACTTCAAAGTTAACTTCATTAGAATATTTATATAAAAAAGTAAGATCCTTTTCAAAACAGGCAGTGCTTGAATGCATTCAAGCATGAGTTATCTGATTATGCATTACTTAGAACATTAGTGATCAGGGGTATCGATATGGGTTTACTTATGTGCTAAAAAAGTGATACTTTTTAAATACATTCAAAACATAGTTTTGTTTGTTGGTTTTTGAATTCTGAACAAAGCTACTCAAGGGTTAATTGCTCTAGCCATCCTTATTTCTGAAGTGATAGCCTAGAAGGAAGGAAATTAGTCAATATCACCCACTGCCAATTCATGGGCTATTCTAATCAAATAATGGGATTTGGCAGTTATTCTTACAATGCACCAATGGCCCCAAAGCATGATTTTTTATTATAATTGCTGGTAATGGGATGTGATCCATAGAACCTTGATTCCACAGTACAGCACACTAACCAGCCCAAACTGATGTCTTTTGACTTTCACATTTATTTTGAGAACTTCTTGCTAGTTATATGTGACATAGAAATTGGTTTACACTATAATACATTTGCAACAGCTGATAAATAAAATTCATATTATGATTTTAATCAGGAGCATTTTTCTTAAGCCTTTTATTATTCTCATTATTCTGTTATTGCTTTCTAAATTTTCTACTTCAATTATTTTTCAACTCATCACCAAGGGCTAGAATTCTTCTAACCTTCTTGTGTACTGTATTTATACTTTTCAAAAATCAGGATTTATAATATAATCATTTTTATGTGAGCAAACAGGTACTCATTTATTAAACATTAATTCCCAAGATGATACAATAAATAAACACAATAGGAAGAAAAATGGTCACTAGAGATTATGAGATTTGTTTTTATTTGATTTAAAATTATGAATATATTTGAATATATTGTAAGATATAATGAGAGAAAATGCTAAGTATTTAAAACTTCTTTAAAAGTCTTAAAAAGTTTGTTCACATAGTAAGGTTTTCAGTATATATTTACATGCATGCTTATATAATATATACAATTCACATACAATAGCATCATTACATAAAATTATGCAATTGCATGATTCTTGAATACAGTCGCTAATGCTTCATTCACCCATATACCTGGATAAATCTTCAGGGAATGCACTGATTAGTATCTATATTTTATATTGGAATAATAGTTCTGATAACACGAGCAAATTGTAGTTTTAAAAGAGTCAGACAAGTAATTTAATAAGGCAAATACTGAAAACAGGAGCAAGATATTTGTAATGCTTTTTTGTTCACTGCTGTTCTAGGTCTGTTATAAAAAAGATCTATATGTAGCCTATATAGTACACTTGAAGTCAAAAGAAACTTGGATCACATATATAAAAAATGAGAATAATTGAAATAGAGTAAGGAATAAAAAATATTATTAAGACATGTTTTACTGTAATCGACAAATTCTAAACACAGTTACTATTAAAACATATACAATAATGTAAGAATTTAATTAAGTAGTGGAAGAAAAAGAGAAAACCTGCTTCTAAATACTATATATATATATATATACACTTTAAAATGAAACTGTTACAATAACCTTTAAATGTTTATCAATATTACCATATATTTTCCTAATACTAGTTAGTTTAAACTTAATATTATAATAAAGCAGGGGTAAAACAAATAAAATCTAAAATCTCTTATTACTGTCATACGTCATAAATCAGCACAACTACATATACTTGTTATGTCTCTTTACAGCATTCTGATAACCACACACAAACACAGATCAATATTACATCTAAAAAGGTTAACATCATAAAATGCCATTTTTTTATTTATACACTAACGAGTTGTTTATTCCTATTACTTGTTTTCTAAACTGTTAAGTTCATGCAGTGTTTGAAATATTTTCACAACTAAGATAAAAATATCTTTGCAATTTCTGAGCTTGACTGTCAGAACTATTTTATTTACTAGGTATGTGTTTTCAAATGTATTAATAAAACAATACACAGTAATGAAGAATATACGAAATGTTTTCATTTGCCTTTATACTTTCTTTGAAATTAAAGTAAAAGGAAGACTCTTCAGGTTTGTTTTTCTTTCAACTATAATTTGAAAGAAATTCTTGGAGTTAGAACCTTCCTGCCTATTTTCCTTCGGAAGTAAAACACTTTCAACATCTGTTGATGATCTATCAGCACAAAAATAACTAATCTGAATTCTCATGACCACCACTCTGATTCATTCTTTGCTCCACTAGGTTGAGAAGTTTGTCTGAGTATTGTTGAAGGAGAGTCATGGCATTAACTATTTCTGGTTGGTTTGTGGGCTCCAGTTTCTTCCCTGTGGTCTGCTGCACAAAATCTGAAGCCACTAAACTGGGAGAATTAATGGATACTCGTTTAGCAGTTCCATGTGAAGTTATAGTGTCTAATGAGTTACTAGAAGGATTCCACAGAGGCATCGGAGGAACAGCTGGCCGCAGATTCTGCTGAGCCTGAAGAACTCCTTGAGCTAAAGTCGTGGTCATGGCAGACTTGTCTGCTGATGGAAGGTCTGTGTCTAATGTTACCTAAAAAAATACCTAAGATCTATCTTAGTCAGCATTGGCACACACTTAAATAAAGAATATTTCTTACAGAGATGTTTTCATGGTATCTAGAGAAGAGCTATCAGTGATATCAAGATGTTATATAGACTTTAATGGACCTAAAGTTTCTAAGTCAGATTGTGCTATATTTTGTTTAAAACACTAATATTCTTCACTTTTAAGTATATTAACACCTGATAAAATTTTCTGAGACACTTGTATTCATTCAAAAACTTCTCTATTCTCTTTCTCTCTATTTGAAAACCATTTATATGATTTCCATTCAAAATTTACTCACCCTTTGAAATATCTGAATGGCATAGTTGGTGACTCTTCTGAGTTCATCTGCAACCTTAACACACAAGTCTTGGGTTACTGTAAAATGATATAAACGTTTGGAAAAGATTGCAAGATGTAAAATTAAAAAGAAAATAACATGAGATGTACTAGTCAAAATAAAACGTAAAATTTTAGAGCAATCAAAATAAAATATTAGTGAACACTGTTGAACTGCACTACCAAACCAAAGAAGAAGAATTTAACATTTTCACCAAATAATAATTCAGCAAAGGAATTTGTCTGTGATCTTCTAGTCTATTCTATTAATCAAAGGGAAAACTAATTAGTCATAGAGAAAGAATTTAATGAAGTTTTCAACTGTACTTTTCACTTCTAGTTAGATCATTCAATTAATTTTCTAAGAGAATTAGAAGTGTTGTAAAGAAATTATTTGGTAAAATTCAACATTGTCTTGCAGACAACTAGTCAGTTAGTTTTACTTTTACAAAAAAGTTAATTCATTATAAGGAAAGATTTTAATAAAGTTGTAACTATTTTCCCACTGCTGTAGGTTTGGGTCTTTAGATATTAGTCAGAAGTTATTAAATGATTTTGGACATCTAATAAAATTAAAATAAAAACAAATTACTGGATGAAAGAAGAGTCCTAAAAATCTAACATTTTGAATACAGATATAAGAGTACCTAGGTTATATTATTTCAAACTTGACAATCCTACAGCTGAAAAAAAAGAAACTAGTTAGAAGTTACTTAGTTTCATCATACATACTGAAAAAAGTGCAAACAGAATTTACTGAAAAAATTAAACAAAACTACACAGGCTTAATGGTTACAGTTAAAAATAACTTGTTTTAAGATAATTTGTAGTAACAAATGTTGTAAGTTTTCACATAAAAATATTGATAACTTACATGGTATGGATGATGCATCAGAAAGTAAAACAAAACCTCTCTCTCCACGTGTTGAAGACACTTCCTCTGGAATAATTCCATTAATGTTTACACCATCCTCATCATTTACTATGGGCAACACTGATAACATTGGTTCCACCTTAGCTTGTGTGCTAGTACTGGTATCATACCCACTGTCTTTTCCCAAACGGCTAAGGTCTCGTTCACTTTTAGATCTAGATGGGTCAATAGTAGGCTGGATTTTACGAGGTGTAAGTGTGTTATACAATCTATTAGATTCAGGAGAGTATCCTCTTCCCTTTCCAAATTCACTGGAACTGAGGCTTCTCTCTCGCCCAACAGAGACCACCCTCATGACAGGATGGGAAGATTGAGGTTCTGTAGGTGAACTATCAGAGGAAGTGGAATCAGGAGGAAGTTTTAAAGGTTCCAAGCCACGGAGTGACAACCTACGTGGTGGTGGAAGATTTGGTACAGACCTTCCTAAGGCACTGACACTGGAAGTGGATGGAGCTTTGGACAGTGGAGAAGCTACTACACCTGAGCGACGAGGAGTTCCAGACACCTTGGCTAAAGTATGAGTTGATGGAACCTTCAGTAGAGGTGACCCAGAAGTGGAAACTTTTTCTTCTCCTTGAAGGGAGCTCATACTAGCACTGCGAGGCATGTTATTCCAAGGTGAGAGTAATCTATTGGAGTTCTGATCACCTGACTGTGTTTTTGCTTGAGCCCAAAGAGGAGCTGTAGAAGACTGGGATACTAGTGGAGATAGTATTTAAAAAAAGCCCCAATTTAATGTATTGTCTAAATATATTAATTTTCAGAAAGACTAGACACCTTTAACAGTCATTACATATGTCAATCATGTAATAAAAAAAAGAAAAAAGGACTAATTATGCAAAATGCTTTAAAACTTGGCTTTGGTTTAAATTAGCCAACTATAATATTAGTTATGCTGTAAAAATCATATTAAGAACAACAGTTTGACATTTTTTTACAGTTTTTCCAGCAAAGTTTGCTTAAATAGAGAAATTCAGCAATGTCTATCAGTTTAAACAAGTTCAAAACATTTTGCCTGTGTTTGCAGATAACAACTATTTACCTACAAGTGCACTGCTTTTAATTCTTATAAAATTTCAATTATTATTCAGAACCTTCTAAATAAGTTGGTTTTCAATAAAGTTGCTGGCACTTTACAAAGAGGATTTAGTGAAGCAATATAGCATTAGATTTTATAGATAGTAGATGAAAAATCCAATCAACATTCTAAATGGAAAATATTTTTAATACTTAAAAGTCTGATGTTAAGATTCAACATGTAAACAAGTAGAGGTGAATTACTGGTTTCACATCTATACAGTCCAAAATTAATAAATTATTTCACACCTGTCAGATCAGAGATACTTTATTTTACTCAAAGTATTAGGTTAGAAAAGCATTACTGGTTTCCCATATAACAAGCTACAAATAAAACATTATTTCACAACCTTCCAGATTACAGTTAAATGACTGGTTTCACACCTATCATATCAGTTATGAATAATTAGTTTCATCATGTGTTATGTAAGAGATGAATGGTTTCAGCAACTATTACCTCATAGATGCCACACTTCATCACTTGTTAGCTTAAGAAATGAAATATGTTTCAGTACCTATCAGCTTATTATTTAAAAGTAAGTATTCATTATTTTGGAAACAAATTACTGAAGTTGATGTATAGCAGCACATCACAATGAAATTTGTTAAACATTGGTATGATGCCAGGAACTACAAGAATTTATTTGAGATATCAGAGGATCAAGATAGTCAACCTGGGACCTTGATTTTAATTTTGATCCATAATAAATGTAGAGTATTAGACAGAATAAATTTTAAAGAAAATGGACAGTACTGAATTCAGACTTCGACATCAACCATGTCTTCAAGATATCCAAGTTCAACTGTAACTGAATTAGTTACTTTCCCAACATTAATTATGCTCCAGGTCTTCTAGTGTGGGAGCATGATTTCTAGATTATTGCCTTTCTAAACAGCAGTTTAAGCTCATTTCTGTACAAATGTATGGTAAAATAAATTGCTTACCTGACTCAATTATTTTACATCCAGGCTGAAACCATACAGACCTAGTTCGAAGTCTGCCTAGTGTACAAATTTTAGATCCAGAAATATTAGCCTTAAATTATGAGAAAATGAAAGACTTTGGTCATGATCATCCCTGTCTGACTAAACATCAGAGTCAAGTTGGAACATTACTGACTCAGGTTGAAAAAAAGATTTTTAACTAATATTATGTTAAAGATAGAAGGCAACTGAGACTAGTGAACCTAAATTTTAGGTTATGATGAGCTGTTTCTAATTTAGTGAACTTTTCTGTAAAATAAAAAAACAGGCTTTTCTTGGATTTCTTTCATTTTTTTAGTAATTGCAAACATAATCAAACCTATATTATCAGAATGTTTATGTGGTAGTCTTTGAAAAAAAAATTCAGAAATATTTGATTTGGTCTTTTTTTTTTGGAAACTAAGACAACAGTATTATTGCCATTATGCACAGTCCTAAAAGTCAATTTTAAAATATCTGGAGAATGCTGTCAAACAGAGAGATCACAAGTTACAATCTGGTTAAATATAAAAATACTAAGAATTGAAGTTTCTTTTTCAAAGTGATTTGGGTTTTATTAGTTACCTGCTAAGCTTTTAGGAGTGGGTGCAGTAGGGAGAAGTCTACGGCGTGCTGAGCTTGGGGTGCTTAAGTCACTAATTGATGCAGTCCTACGGATCGAGTTTTCTGTAGAAGGTTCTAAAGGACCAGGAAGGGTGCATGTGATCAAAGTATTGGTGGCATTGATTATCATGCCACATAATAAACAGAGTATAACAAGATCACATTTAAAGATGGTCTATTTCTTGTTGTTTTTATGAATTTGACACCAACTAATTTACTGCACATTTCTTAAACTTATAAGAGGTCAATCACAGATAGAAAGTTCAGGTTATTCTCAAACTATCCAAATAAAAAATATCATAATGAGCAATTATCTAACACTAAAACTAATCCAAACTACAAAATTATTTCTTCCATGAGTACAGCTAGAACATTATATAAAAATGTTTAATAAGTCATTAACTAGATTATATTTGATGTTACATTTAACCCTCCTATTACACTCAGAAAATAGGTATGCCTGTTATGTTTTGGGTTAGTCATACTGACTCTATTTAAATTCAAACAAATTGAAATGGCATTATACTGGTAAATTCTTTTTTTTCCAGTTTCTAAACTTTTTATGTTAAATATTAGAAATGAATTAAACTCTCTTTATAATAAAGTCATAGATATAGTTAATTACATAATAACATTATGGAGACCAGTGTTGAATCAAATAGATCTAAAACATAATATGAAAGGTAAACAGGCATTTTCAAATATAAATCATTCAAACACAAGATTTCAAATTGGGCGTAAAATGCAACTTGAAATATGAAACAAAGCAAAATGAACAAAGATTTTTAAATATGGTATAGTATTTTGTAGTGTTTTAAATATTTCTTCCCAATAAATATATGATAACAAATGCATAAAAATAGGGTTCTCAGCTTTCATTTGGTTCATATTAAAGTAATGAGGGTGTAAAAGCAAGAGCTCCTTACATGCATACTAATTTTCAGAGTGGCAAGGGTAAGAATACAAGTTATGTCATACAAAATTAATCATACTAAACATTTTGAGATATTTTTGTTAAATTCCTTTGCTTTACAATACACATAATGACTAACTAAATATTATTAAGTTTTTATCATGAATTCTATACTTATTCCTTATAACAACACATTTATGTTTTATTAGGTACAATCATGCACTTAATTATTGTTTATGAAATATAATAATTTATTTATTCTTTTTCAAGTATAATAATGTATTTATTCCCTACTATTAAGTTTTTATCATGAATTCTATACTTATTCCTTATAACAACACATTTATGTTTTATTAGGTACAATCATGCACTTAATTATTGTTTATGAAATATAATAATTTATTTATTCTTTTTCAAGTATAATAATGTATTTATTCCCTACTAAGTCTAATCATGTGCTTATTAATATAATTATTATATCTGTTCTCCAACAAGTATAATCATAAACTTGTTCTTGAGCAAATAAAATCATGCTTTTAACTTTATAAAATAGATTTGAAACTATTTTCATATTATAACAGTCTGTAATTGACCTACCAGTTTTAGGTTTCACTGTTGTCTCATTGCCTGTGGCATTATGAAGATCTCCCATACTTTTACTGGTGCTTAGACCGCCTTTCCAACCAAGCTATAAATGAGTAAAAGAGGTTTTAAAACTTCCAAATTTTAACTTTGTAAAAAAAATACACCAAATCAAGAACAATACATAAAATAACTGATACATATATCAGTGTTCAAGTTTCTATTTTATTATCAAAACATAATCACATAATTCATTTCCAGTCAATTCCATGAGAGCAAAAGCACTGTAATTACTCATCTATATGGATATAGATGTAACATATTTCAACTTTTTCATTGTATTTTCATCATCCACTTCTCTTTATAAACAGCTTCTAACTAAAGTGTATTTAGGTTTGCAAAAATAATAGGATAGGAATAAAAAAAAACTTACAGTTTCTAGCTTCTTTCGAGCCTCATTTAAAGCTTTAGTCAGCTCTTCTCTTTTGTTTGGCTTAATGTCAGTTTTCTGTTTATATATACAAGCGTAAGAAAAAGGAAATTTCATAGATTAACTATTTAAACAGTTTTACATATAAAGATCAAAAAATGCTCAAATAATGCTTGAATAATTATATTAATAATATAATATTTCAGTAATACTTGTTAACAAAGAAGAATATTTTAACTCATGCAATGAAATCCAGTGAGTAAATATGGTTTGTTTCCAATATTTACACAAAGCTACACAAGAGCTGTCTTTCCCTAATTTTAAACTGATAGACTAGAAGGAAAGCAACTAGTCATGAGCACTCGCCACCAATTCTTGGGCTACTCTAACTGAATAGTAGGATTTGATCATCATTCTTGTAACACATCTATGGCTCCAAAGTATGGAACATGATCTTTATTTTTTTGTGACAACAGGATGCAAACTGTGACAAGTCTTCAGATTCATCATCCGGTATGTTAAACACTAGGCCACACTAATGAATATGAGAAAAACAACAACTTGAATAGCATTGCTTAGTAAAGATGTTCTAGAGCTTTCTTCATGAAATAACTAGACTATTACTATCTGTCTTGCCTGATATTATGACGCCTTTTTTTTCTAAAAAACAACTTGATCATAATAGCTGTCTTACCTGACGGTCTGAGGTTTTTTCTTTCTCTGTCTCTGAGTTAGTTGGTCTACAAAAAAGAAATGCTGTTAATTCTTTTTTATACTAATATTTACTTATTTAAACTTTTAAGATACATTACCTATCTTAAAGAAAATAATCATCAGTATTCTAAGAAAAAATGACTACATCTCCAAAAACATTATGGTGGTCTTGAAACTATTTAAGGAATTTTCAGTCAATTTTTTTGTTATATTTGATTACCCAGAGACACAAAAATTGTGATATACATAATAAGTAGTTCAAATTCGATGACGAGGAACCCACTTTGAGACTAATAATGGCTGGAGACGGCTTGAATGGGTAATAAAGAAAAACTTGTACATTTGCTGTTATGTTAAACTTATATTAAAGTTTTTCTTCATTACCCATTCAAGACGTCTCCAGCCATTATAATAAGTAAAATATTTAACTTTAGTGAGAGTAATTCAATGATTGCACAAAGGTGGTATATACTAAAGTATTGACTGCTGTCTCAACTAAACAAGTTCAGATACATCATGAAATGATATTCTACTAGTGAAACAAATAACAATTTAACTCTTGTTATAGTTCAGATTTATCAGAATACATAAAGCTGTAAGTTAAGATTATACAGTTTCAATTTCATCCAATTACTTCTTGATTCGCTTCCATACCTATAATAATGTCTTCATTAACACTCTTTACTTACTTAATCTATTCAAGATATTTGTTATATAAAAAACATGTAAAAAAAGACATTATGCTGTTTAACATAACACTTCTTGTACAATGAATAACAACTAAAGTTACCTCACACATAAGACAATTTGAAAGAATAACCATAACTAAATACTAATTTGATTTTTCATATATGCAACAATTAGTTATTTTACTATGAAAGGTTAGTTGCACTTTTTAAAATAATGTTCTTACTTCCATTCTGCCATTGTAGAAGTAAATTTCCCCCATCATTGACCATGCTCAACCTGATGACTATGATAGTATGCTATTACCTAACACCACAACTTGCATTGTAATAAGCTTCTCTGAAGGATGGCTAGATCAACCTTAGTTTTCTGTAATTTTTTACTTTATCACTAAAATGTTTGGGGCAGTATGTGCATTCATGGTTTATGTTCTTCTACAGAATGCTATGAATTATCTTGTAGACAGGTGATTGTAACGTGTGCAATTTGAAAGTGATTACTTTCCGAGTCTGCAAGCTTTGGTAATGGCAATTATTTTCATGGTGATATACTATTTAAATGTTTTTTTACATTCTCATGTAGGTATCTTTATTTTATTTTGCCAATGTTATTCACTGAGTAATAGACTATCACCTTTGAAACTGAAGTGTCATGGGCTATGAATCTCTTTCGTTATTACACTGTATGAATGCTCATCCAAGGAAATGCTTGTGACTTCTGGTTATTCCTCTAGCCATAAATGTATTTGTGGCAGCATGGTACTGTTAAACATTCAAGAATATATATATATATATATATATATATACACATACACAGACACATGTTGGAGCTGGGCATGTTACCCACGGCAAAGTGGCTTGCATCTATGTTTTAGATATCCAAATCCTTTTTATAACATAGAATTAATCTCATTTACTCATTTTTCAAGCTTATTACACAAAATTTCCAATTACCGAACTAATGCTGTATGTAGTGAACGTGCTAAAAACTTGGCTGATATGCTGTGCCGTGGCATATATCCTGTATCACTGTCTACTGCATTTTCTGTATGGCTGTCTACAGGACCCTTCTCCAAGCTTTCATAATTACTCTTCATGTACTTTTCTCTTTTTCCCAAACGCTCTAAGTTTTCAGTGCTGATACTGAAGGAATGAAGAATGGAGCGGTTCTCATCAACTGGAGTTCCTGAATCTTCATCATCACTGTTAAGCTCATTGTAATCTGAAATAAGTCAACTGAAGTTCATCATGATGATGTAACAAAATGAACTTTCTTGACGAATTTATTACTTCCAAAAGAACTAAATATTTTCATGATGTATCTTAGTTGAATTTGGAAATAACTTAGACCAATCCAATACTTGTTTCATGCAGCTTTTATAATTTTTGTTTTTATATTTATTTCCTGTTTCCACATGATTCCTTTAAAATGAATATTACGAAAAAGAAACAGAAAAAGAAAAGACAGAGGCATAAAATAAATATTCGTGAGAAACAACGAAAACTTAAAACATGCTATTTGGTAAATAATACAATGAAAGAAAATGATGCAAAACTGATTATAATTCTAATATGTACAAGAGAAATCAAATCTTGAAACAGCTTTGTTAAGAAAGTTACCAATATCATTCAACTGTATTTATAATAATAACATAAAATAATAAGTCATACTACTTCTTAAAACCTCAAAACAAATAACATCAATTACGTCTGTATGTAGCTATTACTTAAAATCCTAAAAAAACACCAACCTGGGGCATTGATAACAGGAATGTCTCGAAATCTTTCCGTTTTTGAGGGTCGTCTTTGTTTTTTTCTGCTTTCTCGCAAGTTATCTTCATTTGTAGTGTTGACATGGAAACACCTAGATATGTATCCATCAATAGTACTTTTTTATATTAATTAAGTTACATCTATTATTTAACTAATTACATTATTTCTGTAATTCAGTCATTAAAACTTATATTTTGAGCACTGTAATGTCATTACTAATTCTATACTTGAAATATTACTAATAGGATGTTATTTGTTTTCTTAGTAATTATTTCTGAACATAAGATTGCATTATTAAATTATCTACACTTTTTATGGATAGATATTATAGATGACAAAATATAATTATTTGATACCTGTCTCCCATCTCTGAAATGTCCTCTGACTGGAGGTAATAGACAGTTTCACTACCTTCTGTATCAGATCGTTCATCCTCAGCCTCTACATCCTCTAGCTTCAGACTACTGGCACTACTTGAATCTGTTGGATGACGAGCTCTTGCATCTTTCTTTCCTCCCAATGGGGAGATCACTCGGTCAGTCTCTTTTCCTAGTTTCAAGGTGACCTGTCAAACATATTATACATAATATGTTAACACTTAAACATATTTCTAAAAATAAACAATATTAATCTCACTCAAAGATTTAGTTATATTTATCCGTTAAAATAATGTTTAAACAGTGATAAAATTAACAGCTAGGAAACTTAAGACAGTATAAGATATTTTTTTCTTTATATCTATACAATTTAGGTATTTTACTATGAAGTAACATTTTCAACCACTGTAGTTTTATCTTGCATTTAATAAGAGTTGCTATGCAAGTACTGAATTCAGTACTTGCATAGCAAAGTCATAAAGTACACAAAAATTTTACCTGCTTCTGGTAGCTGCCACTCTGGGTTTCCTGCATGCTTTCTTCAGACACCTCAAAATCTCCTTCATATCTACCATCCTATTAAACAGAAAGTTTAATGTTAGCAAGATTGGGTTTGTTATAAAGCACAAAATCTTAGCACATATTGAGTAGGTGATTTAATATCATATCCTTGAAGTTTCTTGGAAGAAAAACAACTCACTACTTTCACATTTTCACCTTAACTAGTTGTCATCAGTAATACCTGTGAACACTGATTTACAGACATGGAACATTTCCTGATGATTGTTAACTCAAATTAAAGTCAACTCTTGAAATTATGCAATACAGACTGTTATTCAAGTAAAACTGACATCCTGAGATTAAACAGTCTAAAACTGTTAACTCACATTAAACTAACATCTTGAGATTAAACATTCTAAAACTGTTACTCACATTAAACTGACATCTTGAGATTAAACAGCCCAAACTGTTATTAGCATTAAACTCACATCCTGAGATTAAACAGTCCAAAACTGTTATTCACATTAAACTAATATCCTGAGAGTAAAAACAAACTTTTAAAGCTACACCAACCTCTTGAAATTAAACAGTAGAGACTGTTATTCAAGTTGAACTAATATTTGGAGATTAAACAATATAGAATGTCACTAAAACTAGAAGTACTTCCTCAAATTAATAAATATAAACTATTATGTGGAGATTAAACTTATATTTTGATTATAACATATTATATGCAGGTTAAACTTACTTATTAATGTTGAGTGATTTCATGGAAGTTAAACAAATTTTTATTAAACAAGGTTTTCAACCTTATTATGCTTTAGTCATATTTTTAATAATATTGACAGCTGACACTGGATAAGGATAAATACAATAATACACTCGAAAAATCTTGACTGCTAGGAGGAGTAGCTTCAAAACTTGCACTTTTATGAAACAAGGTTTTTTTCAACTCAAGTTGTATCTTACCATTAAATATTTTGAGGATACAGTACAGTTAATTACCTGTTTTTGTTTTGTGATGGACTCTTTTCGATATCTGAATTCAATAGCAGAGATATTCTGTTCCCCTTGTTTATCTATATGAAGTTTAAATGTAATTAAGTAAACAAGAAAAGAACCAAGTAATAAATACAGTTGTATTGCTTTGTATTAAAATAAAAAAGTACTCCAATCTTCTTAATATATATATATATATGAAAAAAGTCCAATGCTGACTACAATGGACATCTAGCTACTTTATAAATTTCAAAATAAGAAAAATGAAGGTTCTAAATAAACTAAAGAAATGAAAATAACAATCACCAACTAATCAATCAAGGAAACAAAGAAAAAACTTGCAATGTATATACATTTGTGAAATGAAATTTTTTTCATTTGAAGACAATATTTTCAAAAGGCTCAACATCATGATAAGATCCAATTAAAGATACAAGAAGTGAAAAAATATTATAATAACTTTTATTGTTTCTTTATTTTCATTCCATTTAAATTAAACTATCTTAAATTAGATGAGTGTATTTAAGACATAGTTACTGTTGTAGCTGCACCCACTTTCTCTACATCTTATGTATAATAAATCACCATTTAGAAAAAATATTATTCTTCAATCATTATTTCTGTTAGTTTCTGAATTTAAGAAGAGATGAAACTTATTGCAAACTTGCTAATTGCTAAAATAAGATTATAAGTATATAAATAAATATATGCATACATATAAATATTTACACACAAATATCATCATGAAAATTATAAATTATACAGGAGAATATATATCATCATTAATTAAATGGAATCTTTCATGGAATTTTTACGAAGAAATCAGTAAATAAACAATGAAACTTTTATCACATACATACTTGGAATGTTTGGGAAAGGTATGACTGAATCAGAGTTAAGGTAGGATTTTACAATCAAACCCTGTCCATCCAATCTCTGTGCCCAGCGGCCACGAGGTTGAACAGGAGGTGGATTTCGTTGTTCTATGTTACGGTTAGTATCACTGAGGTCCTCAAACATCTATATCAGTATAACAATCAACAAGAAGATCAGACAATCAATTAAACAAAAAAGTTTCTGATTCAACAGCTATAAAATATTAAAAGAAACAAAATGTACTACACAACTGACTATACATCAACAAAAAATTGCAACTGATTCATTAACTTCAATGAAAAAGAACATAATTATCAAAGTTCTGATTTTATTGAACAGCATACTGCTGTCACTTTTGAATGATGAGGGAATGAAGAGACCAATGAAATTAAAATATTTCTTCTGCTTTATAGTATTTGCTCCAAACACAAATCTAATATTAATTTTATATTTATCATACTTTGCTATTCATACAGAAATATGTTTACTATAAACAAATGCTGGGTGAATATTTCAGTGAGTAAGGAATAATAACATTTCATAAATGAATTAAACAATCACAAGCAGCCTTGTACCTGTTTCTTGGCCCAGAATGGTAGCTGCCCCATACTGAACCGATAACCAGGGGTATTTTCCTCCATATCTTCCCTATTATTCTTTTGTGCATCAGGATAGAAATTATTATTGTTCATTTCTGCCTTTTCAGCCTCTTTTTCCAGAGTCTGTAGTGGTTTGGTGACAGCAACAGCACTCCTCCTGAACAGATAAATGTCTGAGTTAGTTTTTAATTTACTTAAGTCTTAAACACAACAATAATCCTGGATAAATATTTATCAGACTGATATGTACATTCTGAGACTAATGTGAACAACAATGAGTTTTCATCTGACTTGAAGTTTACACTACCTCTAACTACAACATTGATCATGGATTTAAGTTTAAATTAATCTATGCTTATCAGGAACAGATGTTTATTAGTTTTAAGTTTACACTTATTCTAGTTACAACCCCAATCTTGGATAGATTTATGTCAGATTTAAGCTTAAGTTTCACCTAGAAATGTATGTTAGGTTAAAATTTTCATTAGTCTCAATTGAAATATCGATCTTGTACTGATGCATGAAAGACTTAAGTTTACATAAATCTCAACAACAATACTGATGACAGACAGATAAACACCAGACTAAAGCTCATTTTGCTAGACTAATCTCAACCTAAACAATTACTTTGGAAAATGTTCATCAGAATGAAGGTTAACTGATGAATAATTTTAACTAAAACAATAATCCTGGAAAGATGCACTTGAAGTTTAACTTTACCCTTTTCAATCAAATGCAACCAAACCATTGTAACCCAACAGATTGAAAATAGTATTGCAAAAATATTTTAACTCATAGAATTCCTGGACAGAGATGTATGCAACAAAAGTGTTTGTTAACATTAGTTCAGTATCCTCCTAGATAGGTAGGTGTATGACAGACTTAACTATATAATTAGTAGACAGGTCATCCAAAGTAGTAATTAGCTAGTGATTCTTTTTAAAATTAAAAACTACCTAGCTAAATGATATGAAATATGCAGAATAGTAATAACTTTATGAATTAAATATATTCAAACTTAGTCAAAGTTTTTCAACGTCTTGAAAGTTAAAGTTAACCCTCAAATGAATGATATGCTTTTATCCTACTCATTACCGACGAGGTACACTTGTTACATGATATTGATAAATAAAATTTGTTTATAAAGCTGATGAGTCACACACATGGACTCATAGGTGACTCTAAGGTTAGTGATGAGACTCACCTTCCATCCTGCCAAACACTGGGGAGAGTTGTGGTTTCAGGAAGGTTCTGTCGTGACAACATAGCCTGTGTTATCTCAACTGGAAGCTTCCATAGGAAGATACATCTACAAAAAAATCACAATAATGTTTTAGGTGGTTTTGCTGGATAAAAACAGCAGATGAATTTACAGCAGGGATTTTAATCATTTTTCACTTTTATTCTTGATTCTGCCTTTTGTTTCTACTCACAATGTTACATATGTATTACAACAATGTGGCTTTGGTTTTTATACATTTTGATATATATGTTCCTTGAATATCAAATTAATACCTAAATACCTACCCATCTCCTGACACTGATATCAAGTGTTTCCCATTATTGGTAAACTTAAGTCCAGTGACCAGCTCTGAATGACCAAACATGGATGCCACACATTCTCCACTATAGTAGTCATAGATATACAAACTCTTATTGGTACAGCTGGTGGCTAAGTAGGTTCCCGTATTGTCTAGCATAAGCTGAAGCAATAAGAATGCAATAATCCAATCAATTTTACCTCATTAATCATAAGCTTTAAAGTAAATCATATGAATTAATATAATTCCTATTCAAATACATAAGCATTATCCATAAGATCACAATATGATAAAAGTTTTTTTACACAATGAAATACTTTTTGAACTGTCAAGAACAGTAGATATGTCTATCATAGGTACATTGCTGTTTATAGTGTGTTTGTTTATCATGTGACATACAAAGTGAACAGGGATACATATATAAATACTAATCACCATATGAGTATTAGTTGCTTGTAACTAGTTGGTGTAGAAGCTTACATGTCACCTTCATATACTAATACAGGGACAAATCCACATGTTCAACATTAGCTTTAATAACTTGCATATCATTTCTACATGTTTTTTTATTTTGTTTATTCACTTAAATCTTGAATTTTTATAAAGACACACACTATTTTCCAGAAATAACAAATTAGTGGCTTTTGCTGTTCATATTAGTCTCATTTTCATGAATCCTTCATTACTTAGATGTATTAACTTAATTTAGAACATCAATTAGGTTGTCTATATTTTAAGAACGTTGAGTTAAGAAAATTTGATTTATATAACAGTGAAGTTAATTAGGATTCAAACAATTCTACCATAGCCAGACACATACAAAATATCATTTTTTCTGGTCATATTTAATCTGAATATAATTATCAACCAGACTTCACTTCTTTACCTACCTTAATAAGTGTTCCATCTTCTCCCTGGGATCCACGGAAGCTGCGTGTATTTTTAACACTGTTGACACTGTATACACGGATGTTGCGATCCTGGCATGCTGTTAAGATATGTTGCTGGGTGTTGTCTACTTCCATGTCATAAAGTGTAGTCTTACCCACCACATGATGTTCCCTCACAAATGATAACTGAGGAGCCTTTCAAAACAGATAAAATAGAAAAGCATTTGTAGTGCATGAATATTTACATCTTTAAACCTAAATCTTACCTGACTAGAACAAATAAAGATACAGTCACAAAAAATGTCATTATATCTTATAAGATCATGTCTCTCACCAAAGAAAACTTTCACAAGACAGAAAAAACACAATTCTCACGCTAATACACTATTTGTTTAAAACGAACCAAGTAATAAAAAAATCGCCTTTCAAGTTCAAATAATCAAAAAGACATAAAATACCAAATAATAAATTGTGCCAGAAAAATTATCATCATTTATAAAACATGCACATACAAACGTAGTCTGACTTCTTGTTTGTAAAAGCAACAAAACTAAACAAAATATTATAAAACAATAAATATATAAAGAATTACATAATCAAGATGAAACACACAGTATTCAATATTTAAGCAATTACAAAGGTACATACAAGTTGAGCTCGTCTAAAAATGATTGATTTATCTGCTCCACAGGAAATCATCTGATGCTGACTGGCAGTTTGGACAAATCGAATTGCAGTGATAGAAGAGGAATGATCATCCAAAGTTTGTTGAAAGGAATAACCGTGATTGACATCAAATACATGTATCAATCTGTCTCTACTTGCAGATGCTAAGTATCTCCTCCCTAACAAGTAGATAAAGACAACATATAACTTTCATTAAATCAATAACACTTCTAGCTGTGGCTATCTAATATGGAATGTTTCTAATGATAGTATTTGATTCTATATGACTCTATTGGATGCTTCTTCTTCTTAAAAACTTATAAACTATCAAAGAAAGTATTCATTATGTTACCTTACCAATAACAGCTTGCATCAATCTAATCTTAATTAAACTATTAATCCTGCCAGAAGGAAAAGAAGTATATAAGACAGTTTGAGATAATAAATTCTATTTCTTTTTATGATTATGTTTATCGTTCCTTTATTATTTCCTTCTATCTTTAGTTTATCTATAAATTTTTAATTGCATTAAAATGCAAACTCACCTTCTGGATAATCATTTGTATTTTGAGTAAATATGTACATACGATGAAACTGACACCAGCTTCACTAGCGGAGACATATAAATACTATTAATGTAGCAGAAGATTATGCAAATTTATGATCACATGAGGTTATACCCATGTGACCTACTCAGGGAATAAATACCCCGCCAGAAGCTTCATTAAGAGAGAGAGAGAGAGATTCCTGAGATAGTTAATGAATGATACAGTTAGTGAATTAGTGCTGTTTATCACTCGATATTGTTATTAATATTGAATATTATTTTTGGAATATTGTGTTTCCTGTATTTTTTTAGGAATTAGGTTTTTCTTTCTGGTTCTTTTTCCTGGTTCCATTATTTGAAATAATATTGATATTTATGATATATTGTTTATTAACAATAGTGTCAAGTCCTGGCCAGAGAAGTGTTTATTAACTGTGTTTTGGTAAGTGTTGAATTTATTTCTAAGTGTTGTTATTGTTGAATAATTTTGTTTAACCCTGATTGTAGAGGTGTGTTCATTTTAGACAATTACAAGTTTCAGCCTTAATCAGAATTCTGACAGATTCATTATTTTTACAATACAAAACAAAAAACAGTGGGAACTTTTTAAAGCATTAATTCTCACCATTAATAGGCTTAGAATATTCTAAACACAGCACTTCAGAATCATGAGCTTCTAGTTTACAAGAAACCTCCATCATTTGAAGATCACAGATTCTGAAAAAAAAAATCCAAATTTTTTTCCTTAAAACTAAATACTTCTTTCAATTGAAACTTGCAGAAATAGTAAATGAACATTTTACTTCTGAAGTATAACTTGTTTGGCATAAATGTAAAACAATGTTTGTATTCTGAAATTGCTATCAACTGAAATTTTTAAAACTACTACAACAGAAATGAGTGTTTATTCTCTCATAAAGGTGAAATCATATAACTGTTTTGCATTTTAGATTGATAACAGTAGCTGTTTTAAAACAACTTTGTAATGTTAAGCCAGTGTAGTTATATGTGAACTTTATGATTCCCTGCTAGTTACCTAATGTTTCCTGAACGATCCCCAGCAGCTAAGTGATGACCATTGTGACTGATGCGAAGACATCGGACTCCATTTTTTCCATCGTATGTTGTATCTACTTTGTCATTGCTTCCTGCTATTTGAGAAAAAGATTATTTTTATTATAGTCCACTGACAGAAAACCCAAATTCCAGAGTTTCCAAATTTTGTTTCAAATACATGCCAGTAAAAAATCTATAGGTGACTAATTCTAAGTTTAAAAAAATATTTTGAATATTAATCAGGCTTTAGTTTGATATTTGTGAAGAAAGCAAGTTATATTATAAAATATTTACTTCTACCCTCAAAGTATCCTTCATTAGGCTTACAGCATCTAGATTTAATATAACACCAGCTAAAACAGCTAAACGTATGTGTGTGTATAAATATATACATACACATTAGTACTATGTGTAGCATATTCTAGTTGAAATATATCCTGCCTTTTACTTTTATAATATCAAAATATAAATTTGGTCTGTTTTGAATTTTGTATAAAATTACTCAAGGGATATCCGTGCAAGCCATCCCTAATTTAGCAGTGATAGACTAGAGGGATTGCAGCTGGTCAACACCACCCACTGCCAACTCTTGGGCTACTCTTTTACCAACACATAGTGGAATTTACCATCACAATATAATGTCCCCACAGCTGAAAGGGTGAGCATGTTTGGTGATTAGAATTTGAACCCAGAACCTGCAAATTGCAAGTCAAATGCTCTAACCACCAGGCCATGCCAGGCTGAAAGCATGAATATAACATTGGTTATTGTCACAAGCAGCTTACTTCTTTCTGCATTTCAAATAATAAAATATGTGTTATTAAACAAATGATGTACAACAACTTATTCTAAAACCAATTAAGAAGGATAGTAAGCACAATTTAAGATGCCTAATGATAGTGATGCTAAACCATTATATAAAGAAGTACTTTTACTTTTAAAATTTCATTTTATCATCTGAGACATTTAAAAATTACTAAGCATGACTTTAATGAACTTTTCTCATATCATTTACTAATGATTTCCTAAATCATTTTTATAGGCATTTTTAACTCTGTCAACAGCTAACTTCTAAACACCACTGTCTTATATGGCTAGTACCACATTCAACAGTACATGTAACTTACTAATATATTGCATAACTATAAACAATCTCTAACAGAATATGACCTTTTGAATGAAGGTAAGACAACTAGTTTATCAGATCATGCCTGACATGTTTAGATGATGGAGAGGTATATTTTTCACTATAAAACTGACATGTATTTGGATGGAATGAGTAAGTATTAACTAATTTATAAGAGTGACTCATAAATGTTTAAATTATAATTTAAAAATTTTATTGAAATGTAGCAAGGAAGTGTTTGTAAGAAAATATAGTCACTGGTTTATCAGAATATGACTGATAAGTGTTTGGATGAAAGTAAGATGACCAGTTTATAAATATGACTGATAAGTGTTTGGATAAAGTAAAATGACCAGTTTATAAATATGACTGATAAGTGTTTGGATGAAAGTAAGATGACCAGTTTATAAATATGACTGATAAGTGTTTGGATGAAAGTAAAATGACCAGTTTATAAATATGACTGATAAGTGTTTGGATGAAAGTAAGATGACCAGTTTATAAATATGACTGATAAGTGTTTGGATGAAAGTAAAATGACCAGTTTATAAATATGACTGATAAGTGTTTGGATGAAAGTAAGATGACCAGTTTATAAATATGACTGATAAGTGTTTAGATGAAAGTAAAATGACCAGTTTATCAAAATGACTAGTAAATGTGTTGGACAATGGTAGAAAAATGATATATTCACTCTAAAGAAGGAAGGTAAACCCTCCAAAAGCACTCAGGTAATGGGTTCCTTTGTTTTATGATTTACCAAAGTTTTGAACCTGTTTGGTTTTTCAGTAAAATGACAGTTTATCATTATACAAATGATAAATGTTTAGATAGCAGAACAAACGTATGATTAAAAATAGTGATTAGATAGTGGAAAAACACAAAATTATCTTCCATATTATAAAACCTCTATGACGTATTACATACGGAAATACAGTAGTCATTCATAAACACTGAATAATCCATGTATATGGTGAATTTATTAACAGAAAAAGCATTATCATAGAAAATACAAAATAATACCAATCCAACTGTAGAATGCACTAGTACTTTGTATGTGAGCCTTTTTCATTATATATATTAGTTCATGCTACTATACATGTTATAAATGTACAGTTGTGAAATACAGTTCCAGGAAGAAGCAGGAATAGTTTTTTCTGGGACTCCACACAATTACTGTTACAAAATGTTGGGATTCCACCACCCCTCCCCCCTATAGTCATACTTTACTGTATGTTAGAACTCTGCGTTTTTTCCTGCAGTTGCACCTTTATGATTTTAAAACTATAAGATTGTGTTTCTTGAGGTCGAACACCCCATCTTAGAACACCCATCATGACTGTGGTATTTGAATGCCTTTTCATCCTTAATTTCAGACAACAAATGCCAGCAAAACTTTATGAATTACTTGTCAGCCAAAGTTTCTCAGAATCATATTCTGTGGGTACCATTTTCTGCATTCCATCTTCTGGGATACCAATATTTATTTATTCCTATGTATTTGAGACTGTGATAGAGAGCAAGGCTAAAGGCTGTAAAAAGTGAGGTCGAACCCAGAGAAAAATGGGTCACAAGTGTCATAGAGTTGTTGCAGTCCAGCTACAGTGATTGTGTGAGGAAGGCACAGGAAAGAAGGGCATGGTGAGTATTGACAGCTAATCTTCTGGGTGGAGAAGCTACAAACAAATGATTATTTCAGACTTAAAAAATCTGGAATGTGTTTTGTGAAAAAAAACTATATACACTGAGTGGTCACAAGTAAATAGAC